ATGATTTGCACGAGGCCGGACATTGCCCATGTAGTGGGAGTTGTGAGTAGGTTTGCAAGCAATCCAAGGAAGCAGCATTGGGAGGCCGTGAAGTGGATATTATGATACCTGAAAGGGACAACAAACAAACCACTATGTTTCAGGAGGAAGGAGTTGGTGCTGTAGGGATACGTGGATGCGGACTTCGCCGGTGATCATGATATGAGGCGAAGCACCACGAGGTATGTTTATACCTTAGCGTCGACAACAGTGAGCTGGGTCTTATGTCTGCAGAAGATTGTGACTTTATCTACAACCGAGGCTGAGTATGTTGTAGTGACTGAAGCAAGCAAGGAGATGATCTGGTTGAACGATTGCTTGGTAGAGTTGGATCTGAAGTAAGTGAGAGTAGTTCTTTATTGTGATAGCCAGAGCACTATACATCTTACCAAGAATCTAGTTTATCATGCCAGAACGAAGCACATTGACGTACGATACCATTTCATACGCTCGTTGATTGAATACGGAAAGTTACACTTAATGAAGATTTTGGGGAGTCAAAATCCGACGGACATGTTGATGAAGGCAGTCACCATTAAGAAACTGAAGTTGTGCGCAACTTTAGTTGGCCTTCACGAGTAGAAGATGAAGGCAGAGCCACACTAGGAGGATCAGTGAGATCGCCGGGATGTTGATGATTGAAGATAGGATTTTCCGGTGAGGAGAAGATTCTGGCGAAGAAGAGAAGAGTTCGGGTGAACTCACTGATAACGTTTTGGTCTCCAAGTGGGAGATTGTTAGTCTAAGTGTAGACCCAAAGCTGAAGCCAAAGCTGAAATCAAGAAGATGAAGCAAAACGAAGGAAACAGGAAAACTACAGTGCAGTCGACCACGATGCTCTCTGTGGTCGACCGCGAACATGCACGTGGTTGAGAAAAGTCTTTGGACTTTTCGCGGTCGACCGCGATGGGTTCTGCGGTTGACGTATATACCCTGTAGGCGTTTTAGGTTTATGTTGTTTATCCGGTCGACTGAGACTGGTTCGGCGATCGACCGTGAGCCGAGCTGGCAGTTTCCTAATCTGTTTTGAATTCTGTTTGGGCTGAGATTCATATATATATATATATATATATATATATATATATGTTTTCTAGGGCTAATAAGACAACGTGAAAAACCAGCAGAAAGAGAGAAAAAGAGTGAGAATCTCAGAGAGATTAATCCATTGTTTGAGTGCTTGTATTCCTTCTTCAATTAATCAAAAGGATTGTGTGGTGTAGCTCCCGATGATGTAGGCACGTTGCCGAACCTCGTTAAATTCGTGTGTTCTCTTTTGTTCTTATTTCTGCAAGTTTTTATCTTTGATTTGTGGTGAATTTCTTTCTTGCTCAACTTTCTAACAAGGTCCGGAAGGGCAATGGTTCGATTTGATTGTTTCGAATCCCCAACACTTGGCATAAGAGTATTGAAGAAATAGACGATCAGCTAATTCTGTATCTGACTCATTGAAAGAACAAAGAGGGTCACTAGTCTAGCCTTTGATGATCAGGTTGCTCTTGGATTGTAGCCTATTTTTGGAGAGAATCAACGGAAAAAACTTTAACCTTATTTGGAGCAAGAGATTTCTAGATGCAACGCTGACTATTACTTGCGACACCCCCACTATTGAGAAAGCAATACATGGACTTAACAAAATAGACACTTGCAGGACTAAGAGGCCACTTAATATCATCCTGAATAGATGGTGTTGGGGTGAAAGACGAGAGGAACATTTTCAAGCTGTCAACTTGAGATCTCTCCTCTAGAGAAATACCTCTAAGCAAATGCGGATGCCAAACCCATTTGTTACTACAACAAAGAAAACAATTAACCTTGTCTTTCAAAAGAAAGAAGCTGGTTATCTTTACATTTGCGCGCAAAATGCATACATCTACGCAATAACTTGTTGAAACAAGATTTACGAATATCGACATCCCTGAGGTATTGCAGACTCTAGCTTAACCTATAGATAATACGTCAAATAACTGTTTGAAAAATATCATTTTGAGGAATCCAAGCAGTGACATAAATCTTCAACATATAAAGTCGGATGCAGGAAATTAATTGTAAACAGAACTATATCCTGTTAACAATCATTTCATGCATAAACTTCAATACATTATTGTCTTTGATTAATTAAACCATGCTGTGTAATTTGATATGGTTTATCTACTTTTTTTCGAGAACCTCTTGTATTTGATTGTCTTTTAATCATTTAAAGCCTCAGACTCTGCTGAACATGTCATAAACATCAAATTTCCAACTCGTAGAGTAGCATCACTAAGTACAACATCAACATATACAGATTAATTAACTAGCTTCTAAGTAATCTATAACAAACTGTTGAACCTGGCTCCTAGAAGTAGAGGATAGAATATACAATTGTCTAACTTTAGAGAAACAAATTGAAGAAGTAGAGGAACTCAGGTATCTACTAATTGAGATTGTAAGAAAATGCCATAGCCATACTTTGGAGATTGTAAGACATACCGTGACGGTATGCACTTTTCATGGCAATAGACTGAAACGGCCGATGACCTTTAAATAGTTTTCTAATTAATCAGGAGAAGATGCCCAAAAAAATTATTAATTGAGAAAATAGATATAATACGAGGGAGGAGTACAGTATGACGTATATATTAGAAGAGATTTGAATCAATGCGTCATGCTGCTCTAATACGTACATCTACTCTGGAAATTTTGTATTGCATAAAAGCAACTAGCTTACGGAAAAGGAGCATAAAATCCTTCACCTTGACATTTTAATCAAAAAAATAATCTTCACTTCACAAGATTTTTTTTTTTTTGCGCAATTGCAAAGAATAAAACTATCCACGCTGCGAATGCAAGTTGCAATTTTCTGTCATAAGCCAGAAAATGGCCATTGTACAAGGTTTTGTATCCTAAAAACTTTTAAACAATGGACAACATTACGAGGCAAATGAAGATAGAAGATAACAATGACCCCCTGGTAGTCTTACCGCCGAGTCCCAGCCCGAAAATTTCCAGGCCAAGTTCTCCCCATTCCTTCTTCTCTCCGATGAAAGCTCAGGCCTTTCCCTCCTCCATCATCATGAGAAGGCGGAGAACCCCAACGTTACACTCCCTCGCCCCACAACCCACCCCCATCATCCCCTCCCTCTCTTCCCCCCCAAAACCAAAACCCTAACGGCTCCAAACCCAAACCGCGAAACCCGCAGATCCCTGACCCATACCTGAACACGTCACCCGCTCCATCCCGATCTCCGAACTCTCCCTCCCGTTGACCTCCCACCGGCCAAACCTTCCGCTGGCGCCGGACCTCCGCCGCTGACTTCACCGGCGTCATAGGGCCCCACCTCCCTCTCCTCCGCACGTGACCGCCACGTGGAGTTCCTCCACCGAAACAGACCCTAACCCTAACCTGGCTGCTCCCTCTCCTCTGTGAAGTCAGCGGTCGGTGATTATTTACTTGGCGGTCGATCTCGGGGATGTGGAGGGGGGTTCGCTGACGTGGACGAGAGGTTCGCTGAGCTGGCGGGGAGGTCGGGGGCGGGGCCCGCGTGCTGAGGCAGACCGGTGGAGTGCTTGTTCCAGTTCCTGTGCAGCTGCGAATAACAACATAGGGGAGGATAGAGAAGATGGTGGGGGTATCTCCTCATTGGGAGGGAGGCTGGGGAGTGTTGAGGGGATCGATGTTTTTCGAGTTCCCGACGATCGAGACGGTTGCTGTCGTGACGGAGGCCGAGCTGCAGAGAGGCTGGTTTCGGTATAGGTATGATCTTTTTTTTGGGTTTAGTTTGGTGAAGAATTTTGCGGGTTTATTGATTTGTGGTGGAAAAGTTGCAATCATAGAGAAAAGGGTAAATTTTGATGGGTAAAGTGAGGTTTCGTGATTCGCGGCTGCCACTGATTAGCAATAGTTATTTTGTTTATGTAAGGTTCAAAATTAGTGAATAAAGAGTTGCTTTGTTGAAAGATTCATAGCAAGGATTGGAGTTTTTTACTAGAAAACTACCAAAGAAGGAATTTGACAAGAAGACGGGAAATTTCTTGGTTTAGAGTAAGAAAATGGAGATTTAATGGCGTATTTAGCAGTTTAGAAAACCGGTAAAAGAAAATGGAGGGGAGTAAAACAAGCTGCATTGTGAAATTACTACATAAATGAGCTTGAAATTTTGATAAACCAGTTTATGTTGTATTTTTCTATAATTTCTAACATTTACGTGGGAGGAAATAATGTAGGGGTTGAGAATCCTTGGGGCTTAGGGGGTGAATGAGATTCATGATAGAATACAGAAGAATGCTTACACTAATAAACAGCAGTTATAATTGGTCCGTACAGAGGTTAGGCTTAATTGAGGATATGGCTCTTGACAGAATTGATTGGAAGAAAACAATTCTTGAGGGTACTCCAAAAATTAGTATAAAGGTTTTGTTTGTCAAATGTTTTAGGCTAAATTATGAGATTTTAGTCTATTTGAAGCCGTGCCCTTGCAGGACACCGGAACTTCAGTGGACACCCTTTGGGTATAAAATAATGATAGAGGCACACCTCCGACCACACCACCAACCACACTCCTTCTCTCTTTATAGTGGTAGTGGGCCCTGCATGATATTTTAAAAAAATATCATGCAGGGCTCACTACACTATAGAGAGAGAGGGAGTGTGGTTGGAAGTGTGATTGGAGGTGTGCCTCTAGTGGGACTCTTGGGTATATGCATACACTTATTGAAATGTGACTCAATTATATAATATATGCTTTAATTTAAACCACTTTCGTACACATCTTGGACGTATACCCTACACCTCACACACTCTTATTGAAATTTGTTAGACACGGGTCAAGTTCGTCTCTGCACGTGCCCAGTTTAAAAGTATGCTTTTAAAGGTGTGTGTATACATATGTGTATCTCCCAGTACCCTACTTTTAACAAATTTGTATATCCCGCATTTGTACCTGCAACATTACCTATCTGTGTCAGTTAGTCCAGAGTTTTAAAAAAAATTGTTTTATTGTAGCACTTCAATTAACTTGCTACTTTTGAATTGTCTAATTCTTGTACAAACAATCAGGGCAAAGTATATAGTTGGAACAGTTAAAGCCCTGCAGGCAAAGCCTGGTGGAGGTGCAGAGTGGCTTACGTCTCTTCGTGGTCGGGAGCTCAATGAGGTGATTGATGCCCTCTGTACTTTGCCTGGAGTAGGACCAAAAGTTGCTGCCTGCATTGCTCTGTTCTCCCTCGATCAGCATCATGCAATTCCTGTTGATACTCATGTGTGGCAGGTTAGCTTTTTGTCATGTATCTACACCGTTTTTCCGAAAGACACCCTTTTGGTTTGTGCGAGCTTCATTTTTAAAATTCCGGAAATGCCTTCATAATTAGGGCGGGGGATAATAATGCTACACATGAAAAAAATTAGTGGAAATGGCTTCAAGCTTGGAAAAAAACACCAAAAGAAAATTTTAACTGTTTGTTCCCTTGAAATTTTGACTATGGCACTCCACCAGATTCCGTGTCATGCACACATCATGGACACACCTGAATACTAGTATCATCTAGTGAAAACTTAAAATATATTCCAGATATGATGCTTTGACCCTAGAATGTCACATGTTATAAATTTTATCAGTGTCGACACTCAACTAGAAGGGCTATCAGATATCTACCCCTTATAATTGGAAAGCGAAGTATTTCTTTTAGGAAAGACGGATATATGTGCTATATATCTACGTGTTGCATGTTGATTTCCTCATTGAATTTGGTGTTCTGATATAAGGCTAAATTTCACAAAAACTGCCATCAATTTGGGCCTCTGAGAGTATTTTGCACAAAACTGCCACCAATGTTTTGATTGGAGGAACTACCATGAATATTTTCACCACACTATTCTTGGCGACTATTAGGGCAAGTTGTCCTGTTCTTTGCGCTGACATGTTCTGGATAATTTTGCTCTTATGTGCTTCATATATTTTCTATATTGCTTTTATGAACTTTGCTAGCTGATAGATGTATACAAAGGTAGTTCAGACCTTTCGTCTGAGTCTTAGACCCATTATCAACGATTTCCAGTAGTTCATCGTATTTTTCACACTTGAAAGCTCATGGTAGTTTTCTCTAATAAAAAGAAAGTTTATGGTAGTTTTGTGAAATTTACCGCAGATATTTGTGAGGACTGTTCATATGGATGTTGACCTAAAAATTACAGTTTTGTTATGTCCTCTTATGTAGATTGCGACCAGGTATCTACTGCCAGAGCTTGCAGGCAAGAGTCTAACACCAAAGCTATGCGGTCAAGTCGCTGAAGCGTTCGTGTCGAAATTCGGGAACTATGCTGGTTGGGCACAAAATGTGCTTTTCATTGGCGAGTTACCTTCTCAAAAGGCTCTTGTTGCTACTGTGGAAGAGACCAAATCTTCGAAGAGCAAATCTTCGAAGAGGAGAAGAGTGACAAGCAAAGCGGCCGTCCAGGTTTTGGTGGAGAGCGGGTAAATCACAAGGTAGGAGTCTGTGTACCTGTACCATTGGTGGTGGTTGTGTATATCAGTTTCTCATTCATCAAGCATTTCATCACGTGGTTCTCAGATGGATATGGCCTCAACAAAATCTGCTATAGTGAACTGGAAATTATTTATAATCTAAGAAAGAATTTTGGGAATTCATGCCATTTGGAAGGATATTTTTGTTGTCCGATTGAGATTCTTTTCAAAGAAATGGAATCACTGCTACCGTTGCTGGAACCGTATTATAATCTAGGAGCCCAAACGCTTGGAGGCATTTGGTTAAACTGCAATTCATCTTATTATTATTATTATTATTATTACTATTTTATTTCTATTGGGATGTGAAAAATCTGTATGATACGAGTGATACATGCTTGATTTCATTTGTAACAAAGTGCATACCGGCTAACTTAATTTGTATTCGAGAAAAAGTGAGATTCAGAATATTTTGAGAATTTTGGTTGCAACATCCAGCGAAAGACGTCATTGTACAATATTTACAATTGCATTTGACATTAGAAATGAGATTCATCCAACAAAACTGACGAGTTTAGCATTGATACTAAGAAGAAGCAAAGATAGTTGATCTGAAATGGGATGATCTTTCTATCAGTAAAATTAAGACGAAATACTTCTAACGAGTACAACTTATACATCCCTCCAGTTATTCTTCAATTCTACACTCAGACCATCTAACTGCTATTCCCTTCGGCTGCCAATATCACTTTCTTCAACCTTGAAGACCTCCACATATTTCTGAATGAAAATAATACCAACCGAGTTTATATAATTTACAAATTACACTAAAATTGGTAAAAATAAACTACAGAACGCTACAAGAGTACAACACTGAACACAGTATTCCGCCATCCAAGTTCTCTCAATTGTTAACCTGTATTAGAATTGTTTCCGGATGAGGATCTCAACAACGGATGATGATTCGAAGTAGAGGCATTCGTTAAGCCAGAATTAAAAATCATACTCTGAGAGGGTCCAGAAGAGGACGGGTTAATCGCTGACAGAGGCAAGCGAGGGCCAAAACCGTACATTTGCTGTCTCTGCATGAATTGCATATGAGGATGGCTATTTTGAGGAATGCTGTTACCGAATGCTGCAGGTGATATGTTTGGTTGTCCAGCTGAGGTTGGCATAGTTGGTGCACGTGTGCTCGTGTTTGTTGTGTTCATCGCCATTGCTGCTCCTGCTGCCGATGGCCCTGCTGCGGTTGGTAGAGTGGTTCCTGGTGCAGTGAACCGCGTTGACATCATTCTGACCCGTTCAGTTGAAAGTCTTTGTCTTGTTTTCTCTACTTGTTCACATTCCTTCATTAGTAAGGTTTCTACTTCGGCAAATTGCTTCAGCTTCAGCTCTAGCCTCTTTAGCTGCACAAGGTTGAAAAAGAGTTGAAGAATATCCGAGTAATATCAGAACCGAGGTATATGCATTGTATTCATCAAGATCCCATGAAGTTATATCTTGTATTGACATTTACAGGTAGTGCTTATAAAACTATGCGGAACATGTAGGAGGCAACCAAATTATCGAAATGTAATAGAACTTAGCAGTATAGGATACCATCAAGGCAGACTTTTATCGAAATGTAATAGAACTTAGTATAGGATACCATCAAGGCAGACTTCTTATCCAAAAAATTGTATAGGGGGCGAGGATTTTGCTATAATGGCAGTTATTAATTAAATAGAACCCAGTAAGAATTTATGCCTCAAAACCCAGCTTGGACACGAGTCCACTGAATGGTGTAAGATACAATGGTCACACCGTCAGATGAATATGACCAACAGAAAGGGTCAGTATATTTGATTAATGGTCATACTGTCAGATGTATATAGTTAATATACCTATAATACTAAATAAAAGCAGATCTATTTATCAGCAAAAAGTTGTCAACAATTGGCGCTTGTATCCATAGATGGCATATATTTTGACTTGTGTCACTCTGATCGTGTATACAAAAAAACAGGGAACATTTTCTCTAAATTATGTCCAACTCATCCCAGCTGATAAGAATCCAAACCCATTGAAGTATACAAGTTCCAAATACATCTTCTGCACCCTGGGCTGATTTATTAAAAAAAAATCTGAGAAAATATTTTAATATTCAACAGATGCCAACAATTTCTTACATGCAAAGAAAGAAAACTAAAAAGAAAAAAAGAGAAAAAAGAGAACAAAAACAAAAACAAAAACAAAACAAAAAAAGATGCTACCATTTTTTAAGACTGTAAAGCTGCTAACTGAAAAAAGAATGCAAAGAGACTCATCAAGACTTTTTAAGTCAAATACATTTAGAAAACAGATTTCCATGAGGACATGATATATACCTGGTGATTTATAATGGTAGCAGCCAATCTTTGAACTTCACGTTCTTCCTGATCCGCAAACAACTTCGCCTTCATTGCTGCAGCAGATAGGCCAGACATGCAAGCCAACTTCACACGATCAGGAGAAAGTGCAGAAGTAGCAATTTTAGCATGTGGATTTTGATCTCCCATATCTGAAATCAATTAGCGAGTAGCTTTATGAAAAGAAACAAGTTATTTAAAACAAATGAAATTGTAAAATAATCTAGGAAACTTAAGTTATTTAAAACAAATGAAATTGTAAAATAATCTAGGAAACTTACTTTTTTGATGACCAAAGTTTGCATTTGGTCCATGTGGACTAGCTTCACCATTCATCTTATCAGTACTCGACCTTTAAGCATGAAACAGAAAGTTCTAACTATTATCCTTTTAGCAAAAGTCAAGAGCAACAAATTAACAGGTAGAATTGCAACATTGAAGCTGATAAGATGTATTAATTTATCAATGGTTTTGTTCAAGATCACGGGTTATAATATTTTGCATCCGCACTGTAACTGTAAGACCCAAGCAATAAAGAAGTCTACGAAATTTCGGGGTACGCTCTTTAATCAATCAACCCACTAAAATAATTAGTGAAAAGCTCTTCTATCTAACCTGGGATTGTCGCTAGTCAAGACTGCTAGCGATGCACTTGCACATGCTGCAGCAACTCTTGGTCCTATTGCAGAGGTCAGAAATGCAACCTGAAAGAGTTATTCCATTACTCAAGGTAAAATGTCAAATAAGCTAAATGTAGGACAAATATTCAGAACACAGGTATTAATATCCCAAGTGTAGAAAGGACATACATGAGCAGAAAAGAGTCCATCAAACAAGCAGAAAAGAAAAAAGGGTATTACCGCACATCTAGAACTATAACTATAAACTTAAACCATCACTTCTAATTTCACAAATATCAGTAGATAACTCAACTAATAGATCATCAAGGACTCCAAACTCAACTAGAAGCATCTCTACCAGAAATATCGAGTTCTAGTTTTTGTCATTTGTACGAAGAACATGAGCAAGTCCATGGGCAGTTCAACTGTAGTTAGTATGTGGACCATCGAGCTAATAGTTTCAGCTTTGGCCAGAAACGGTTGTCCTCGTGGTTCCAGAACACCATATATAAAAGAAAAAAGGATCAGGTTTAAGTCCTTCATAAACATCATGTATTTCGTCCTGCATGTTATCTTCCATGTTTAAAACGACGTATATTGTTTTCCACATGCTGTAAATAGTGTCAAGAGGATAGCCTAATAACTCAAGCTTTGAATGGTTATCAACAGATATGCAATACTGAGAGGAGATAAACAGTTACTCACGAGTGACATAACAGGATTTGCAGCATTAGCAAATGGAATCTCATTTCCACTATTTGCTTCTTGAGTACAAACTCCTGCAGCAAAGACAATTAAAGTTCAGGGATACGGAGACCTACAAATAGCAGGTGCCAAAAGAAAGGCATATTTTCAGCCACCAACGAGAATGGCTATACCTGCCATATCACCATTTGCATTTGGATCTGAGAAAACATGAGCATGTCCCTTTGGATCAGATTGGCCATTAGTTGGCATGACTTCAATACTTTCTAGTAACCCATCCTCCATGGGAAGCCGAAGAAAATGAAGAATGCACTGTGCTTTTGACTTGGTGCCTACATACTCTGCAATCTCATTCCAGTTATCCTTATATTTCTCCAATGCCTCAAGCAGCAGCAAAGTTTCTTGATCGGTCCAGTTATCTCCATCAGGATCGAATGTCTCTTTCCTTGAATCCACTCTAACAAAATCTATGCTCGAGTGACCAACAATATGTTTTGCATCATGAAAGCATTCGGAGCAAAGGATTGTGTCAGCCTGTTCAAGTCAGCATCAGAAACTAAATGTGAAGCAAGAAAATGCAAATGTCACAACTACTTAAAACACAACAGTCAGCCCTTCAGAATAAATGCTGATATAAATAATCAATTCTTTAGTAACTAATAATTTTCAACAATTACTACTCTTGTACCACCTTGTACCTCCAATTTGTGGGAGATTTTGTTTCTTACGACTACTTTTACTTTTACCATGCCATGTTGTGAATATGAGAAGTTTGTATTGATCTGTCTCAAACCTAGGAAGCATGCATGATTTTACTTAACAACCATGTAACATGTATAATAAATAACCTGCTATGCAAATTACAAGCATCTTAGAAATAGTAGTCTTCAAAAGACTTGCTCTTCACCTTAGAAAAAATTAGTAGGACCACAAGGGAGTAGTCCACAGTCTTTGCTTCTTTAGGCTTTTCTTGAAAATGACCACACTTTTAAACAAAGCTATTATTCGTAAAAAGATTGCTAGTCACCATTTTGCAGAACTTCAACGTCAGAGCACCTAAAATAAGTGAATAGGATAAGCCCAGAACTACGGCTCTCCTGAATACAAAAGACTCAAGATTCTGTAAGTGTATATGATGACTCTTGAGTTTGAAATGGTCAACCATGACAACTTTCAATTTGAAAATCTCAGTACAATAAGACGCAATTGCTTGTCACCAACAGAATAATCTATCCCAAACTATGTTGCATAGATACGGGTACAAGTACTGGTATGGGTACAGCTATGGGACACGGAAAATTTGTAAAGGTAGGGTATGGGGACACTGTCATATATTCATGTTATGTATATTTATATACATTAAAATTAATAATTTATGTAAAATCAATATTGTTTTTTCATTTATATAAGTTCAGTATATAAGAAATAGATGTGAACTGTAGAATATATGTCCAAGAAGTGTATTTAGGAGTATCATAAATTAAAACATATATTATACAATTGAGTATACGCCTGAATAAATGTAAGCATATATTCAAGAAGATTGGGTACGGGTATGGGCACCGATAGAAGTACCCAGGTAGAAGTACCCAGGTAGAAGTACCCATGTAACATGGTCATGGTCCTTCCACATAACCGACAAAAGCTGCTAGAGAACAATAATAGCATTTTATAATAAACTACAATATAAGCTTGTTCCTTCATGTGCAACATATAGTTCACACACAATGTAACTTCAGATAACTTAAATTTCTGTACAGAAGTTACTAAACATTGCTTGCAATTAAAAACTACGAAAGTAGTGCAAAACGAAATAGCAATGAGAGAGGATGTCTCAGGCAGAAAATAAATCAAAAACAGATAAACCAAAATTCAAAGTATGAGCGTACAACTTTCATATGGATATGGGAAGAATCCCAGTCACAAGGTTGATTTACTGGTACTAATCAATACACTGTCGTTGGAAAACAAAGGTCCATTAGCAAATAATAGCAACTTAAGAATGATGAGATCACATAGAAAGTATAATTGCACAAGATGATGAGTATGTCAACAGAATATATTGCAGAAAATGTGTGGAATTATGATTTTTAACTTGGCAAGAACTAGCATGATGCATTGAGCAACTAGATTATTAATCGAAGAATGGAGAAGTTAGGGTGCAAACCACAATAGACTTAATCATCAGCAGTTAAAAAGTTGAGAATACTCCAGTTCTGCTTAGTAGCCTAAAATTATATGTTTCGCTATTTAAAATGTATATAAAGAGGCAAAGAAAATATTTACGTCTACTAATAGGGTAATTCGTAACATTTTGAAGTAACTTACTAATACAGTACGTCCTGATAATAAAATCTGTTGCAACAGAAAAACTTTATTAAGTTTCCATGATATAAAATGTCAAATAGTTAATATTGTTATTCATTAATATACCTCATACAGAAAACACCCAGTTAACTTAAAAGTATTTACGAAGATCATGACGAGAACAAAATGAAGAAGCTTAAAGTAAAAGTAGACGGACCTCCTTCTGAGACTGGTAATGCAAATGAGGCAAAGGGCGAGAACAATAGCTACAAGCATGCTCTGAGAAGCGCTCCCGAATCCTTGTATCCAAGTCCAGAAGCCCACCATCGGAATGTTTTGCTCCATCAGCAGTTGCACACAACGCACTGATATCCTCCAGTCTAAGACTACATTTTGGCTTATCAAATAATATCAGACTATCAATCGATCGAAGGTGAGAAGTATGAACATTTAGCTCCCCATTAACATCCTCCTTAATCAGAGATCCAGACATCAGAGACCCAGCCATTCTAAATCCTCTGCTCGAAGCAGAGACATAATTAATAATTCCCCAGTTATCAAGGAACCGCACTATACGACTTAAATCATAGAGCTCACTACTGGAAACTAGCCCCTGGCAATCACCAAAAGCCAGCCTCTTCCCTGGATTCTCCAAGTATTTAGAAACTATCTTATTTCTGAGTGCCATATACTTCTCTGGCGTATGATCAGAAGACTTCCCAGAGAAATAGTGGGGGACAACTTGCCGCTCCAACCGATGAACTGTGGTGGGAGAGAACCAATCTGCAACATCCAAAAGGCAAAACTTTTATCCAAAGTTTGAAAACATATAGTTTTCAATGAAATGAAATTGAGAGACACCAATAAATACTTCTTTCGCATAAAGAAGTCCAACCGCATTTGTTCCGGAATTTTCAAAAGACCATAGATTTTACGTGTAAGTACGATTTAAAGAATGAATATCACAAAGCTCTATGATACCTGTGATTCACCATCCAAATAAAACTATCTAGTTGTGAAACTTTTACCTAAAATCAAACTGCAAGATCACTCAACTCTACTTGCAGTATAGGCATTGTAATCCCAAAGCTCAAAATTTGCGTGGCATAAAAGCTTATTTTTAAGTTGTGCTTCACATGAGGAGATGGTTCTCTATGCCATTCCTCCTCTTATACTCTACTTGCTCTTATTTCCAATCACTTGTTCATTTAAATATCAAAATTTGTACTTCTCCTCCCTGCTCGAATACAATGTAGCTAAAAGAAAGTACAAGATTCAACCTTCTCAAAAATTGGTATCTGGTAATTTCAAATGTGATTAAGGTTTCACAGTCCTAATTGAGATCACCTGAGTGCATAGGAACAATATGAATCGACCCATCAACAAATCTCTTCTCAACACCCCTCCCCTCCATCAAAACCGGCGGAGTGCAAACATAAGCCGACGCCTTATCCTGCTCCGCCGCCAGATTCAACACCAGATTATCCCGCGGAACGCTCGACAGCGCCTGCAACTGCCCGTGCGAGATGTTCTCAAGCATCGGCAGCGCTCTCACCGTCGAAAACCTCTCAGCGGCAACCAAAGCGATCACTGACGGGTGCGGCCTGTTAACGGATCTCTTGATCGCAACCGGGAAATCCGAGATCCGCTGGCCGAGATCCGACAAGACCTCGGATTCGCGCACATCGAGGATTGGATCGCCATTGAGATTGTTAGCAGGCGAATCTTGGTTGTGGTGGTTGTTGTCGTCGTCATCCTCGGGCTCGTCGTCGTCGTCCTCGTCGTCGTCTTCGTCCTGGCGCTTGAGGTTGCTTGGATCCCGCTTGCGCTTCCGCCATTTGAGGCGAGAATCTGAGAAAAAATGGGATTTTTGAAAAAAAAAACCCTAATTTGAGGGTAAAAAGGGGGTAAATTAGGGTTTAGGGTTTTGGGGAGAAAAATTTACCTGATGAAGGGAGAGAAGGGGAAGCTGGGGACATGAGAAGGAGAGCAGTGATGAGAGAGAGGGGGGGGAATTTGTTGGGATTTTTATTTTTATTTTTTTGGATTTTCTTTTTTTTCTCGTTCGAGCAGCTGCGGGATTTTGGCACGAGGTCAGAGAGGGGAGGTGATGGGTGGCTTAGGGGCACCGCGACTAATTATATCTCGCGCAGGCGAGAGCGGGTCGGGTATTGCCTGGCTCTGGAGTTTGCGCTATTCGCGTTACATGGACGGTACTCATGGACATAACAATGCAAAAATTTGCTAACCCCTTAAAGTGGTAAGCAAAATTTCATTTAGATTCTTAAACTTTGTAGGTCTTTAACGCTTAATCCGTCATCAACGGAAGTCGTTTTTAAGTTTTTTTTTCTTTAATAATTGCTGATGCGTAAAATTTTTTATTGGACCATATTCATTTTTCTTTACTGACTAGATACAAACTAGACCCCTAAAAGTTTTAAAATTACAAACAGCCTCTTAAAAATCTTGAACCTTACAAACAGTCCACTTAAAAATTTTACAAACAGCTCCTAAAAGTTCTGAAAATTATAAGGGAAAACTGTCTCTACTCCTTAAAATCAAAAAGCAAATTCGCCCCCACTCCCAGACTAAGTCAATAAGCTTGATACCCCCATAATCGAAAATTTTTAAGCAATCAACTCCCTCGAGCCCATATGTATCCCCATCAGTGTACTTTATTTTTTAAAATCCCAAAATACCCCATCCCCGTAAAACAAACAAAGCCCTATACAAAACCTTTTGTCTTGTCATCATGGTCTTCCTCCTCTTCCGCCCCATAACACCGTTCGTCAACGTCACTATCGTCTGCATACCCGGCTTTGCTATCAGCAGTGTCACCGCCAATTTTATGGGCAGGGTTTATTTTAGGTTAAATATCATGAGAGAGAAAGCTTTAGCTTATTGTGTTTGTGAAACTCATGGGCAGGGTTTATTTTGGGTTAATTTTGCTTAACCACCCGAACTATATATGTCATTTATAAGCGATATTTGCTGCTGTCAGGGCCGGCCCTGGGGTAAGCCCACCAAGCCTCGCGGCTGGGGCAACCCAGGGCCGGGGGCCAACCAAAATCTAGGGTTTTAGAACTCAGAAGGGGGGTGCAAAAAAACTTAGAAAGGGGAGAGATGAGCAGGGGGCTAGGGATGATGGGACCCTGGTGAAGCTCCTCCATGAGTCGGCGGGCCACGTGGTGACGGTGGAGCTCAAGAGCGGCGAGCTCTACACAGGGAGCATGATCGAGTGCGAGGACAACTAGAATTGCCAACTCGAGAACATCACTTTTCACTGATAGGGTTTGTTTTTTTAATCTCAATTCCATCGTGTTTCCCCCCTTTGTTGGATCTTTTAAATTTGCTATAAAGTGGTTGATAATTTTATTTCACTTATATCTTATTAAAAGCCAAATCGCTATTACTAAATTGACAAAGGCATGAAGCAAAGGGGTTAGTGTAAGAAAGAAATAAAGTAGAAAGAGGTCAATTAAAGAATCTATTCGATTCTATTCCTATGTCACTTTCTGAATAAATTTTTCCATGAAATATTTCTTACATAAATAACAAGAATCAAAATGCCTATAATGGTAGCTAAATAGGTGCCTTAGCAAATAAGATTTTGTCCTAACATGTTTGAACTTGGATTCAAGTGTTTCTGGATATGGTAACTATACTTCACCTAACATAATTAGAATATACACAACGCCTGCCACAAATTTCTACCTGATCTAAATCAGAACCTGAATAGCAAAGTGAACCAGAACAGGATTAGGATATTCAGTAAGTTTCTTTTATAATATCATAATAACTGTGAATTTATAGCATATTCGAAGTCACAAGTAACCCAGCCTCTCGCACAGACGACCGAAAACACTTTCACAAGGGATGGAATCAGTCAAGTAGTTAGTGGGGTCGATTCTTATAACATCTTTATGGAATCAGTTGCAGGTTTGCTCATACTAAACCTTCAGTATACATCAACATATTAGTAAAACTGTGTCCTGTCATGATCAATTCTCATATGTAACGATGTTGGGTAATTATTATGAAACTCCCTTCAGGTTTGTCACTTTATATAAATTTTATGAAAGTATCACCACTTTAAAGCGAAAAATAAACTATTGGAAAGAACATATATTGCCCTTTCCAAAAGTTTCTGCTATTTTGTTATCTCATCTTTTAAATTTGTTCTACTGCACTCATCTTTACATTTCGTTCAATCTTGTTCCCCTTGTCTATGAACACCATTGGTTAACTCTCCTTGTAGCTATTTAGCTATGGTTGTTTCGTATCAATCATAGTGTTTTCCTTCTGGAGCTTTTGTCGTGTCAGTTTTTTTGTTTAATCTGTAGAATTTCAAACTTTTGTTACTTTGTAGGATGGAAACGTGTCACAACTTGAGCATGTTTTCATCAGAGGCAGCAATGTCCGGTAAGTTCATCATGGCTATTATTTTATCTTATCATACAAAATACCAACATATATCAGTGTTATACAACGAATTTGGGCTGATTTCTACAGGTTCATGGTCATTCTTGATATGCTAAAGAATGCTCCTATGTTCAAACGTTTGGATGCCAGAATTAAGGTGTGCAATGTGTATTCTTGTTTATCTTTGCTATAAAGTATTAACTATGGCTGAGGGTGCTAGATTTTCTCATTCTGTTTTGTTTTTTTAATGCAGGGCAAGGGTTCTTCTCTTGGTGTTGGTTGTGGCCGTGCTGTTGCTATGCGTGCCCGACCTATCCCGGGTTAGTTCTATTTTGTTAATAGACCTATTTTCCTTTGTTACTCAAATAGCCCTGCAAATGCAGCTATTAACACATACATCACTTTGCTAGAAAAGATTTTTGTGACTGCAACTATTATGCATCTTCCTATCTTGTCATCTATTTTTTTAATAATTCGATTAAGGTATTAGAAGACACATATCACTTTAGATTACACATGAATTTTTATTCTGTTGGTATCTTAAGCTGGGTTCCCATCATAAGAAGTATCACGTACTGTATTGTAGTAGGTTGATAATCTGGAATTTGTAAGCATCTATAAGCTCTGGTTTATAGTAACGTCATCTATTTTCTTATATGAATATTGATTTTGCAAGAGAATATTATCAGTTTGAGCCCAATATAGAACGCTAAATGGTGTTATATGTATTCATTTTTATCGTTATTATTCGTACTAAATTTTTAATATAAGGGGCAACCAAAATTGGATTGGGCTAGGGCAACCCAAACCTCGGGGCCGGCCCTGGCTGCTGTTTTGATTTCTTTTATTTTTTAAAAAAATATTTTGATTGAATCTAGATGGAAAATATGTTAATTAACTGCTAAACTTATTAGCAATATGTCAGTAGTTAAATTTATAAGTTTTTTGTTAAGCTTTTTGCATTTGTTGTTAAGTTTTTTGTTAGTTGTTAAGCTTACATATTGTTTGTTAAGATTTTATATTTATTGTTAAGCTTTTTCATTAGTTGTTAAGCTTTCATTTTGTTAAACTTATGCATTTGTTATTAAACTTTTTGTCAGTTGTTAAGCTTATGCATTGGTTACTAACCTTATGCATTTGTTATTAAGTTTTTTGTTAGTTGTTAAGCTTATGTATTGATTGTTAAGCTTATAGGATTCGTTAAGTTTTTTGTCAGTTGTTACGCATGATCATTGTTTGTTAAGCTTATGCAATTTTTGTTAAGCTTTTTCATCGGTTGTTAAGCTTATACATTAGTTGTTAATCTTATGTGTTTATTGTTAACAATGAGAGGCAAAACTATAGTACCAACCATCTCCTATGCCCTCTCCCATCTCTCCTTCTCCAACAACCCCCGCCTTGACTTCTTCTTCTACATAGTACCCCCACCCCTCCTATCTCATCACTTCCCTTGTCTCTTTCACCTGACAACCGATAAAAAATCTTAACAACAAATATATAAGCTCATAAAATTAATATCTAACAAAAAACTTAACAATAAATGCATAACCAAACAACTAACACATAAGCTAAGATTTGATGGAAAATCTTAATAACAAATGCATAAGTTTAATAACTGATAAAAGGTTTACAAAAAATGCATAAGCTTAACAAATAATGCATAAGCATCAAAGACTACATCAACACAACCTCTTTTTGAAAGTGAAAAAATCTCAGAACTCTCTCATCATTCATTCAACTGGAAGTATAATCTCATTAGTCCTAAGTGAAGGAAAAGTCCAAAGCAGATTGTACCTCGCCAGCAAGAACTCATCCACAAAATTAAACCCATCTCTCTTCGAACTCATCTTCAACCTTCACCTCTCCCTCTATCACCATCGCGCTAGATATCACCACTTGTTGAAACTCGGATGCAAGCCTAGAGGAGGAGTGAATAGGATTGCTATAATTTTTTGATTAACTCCAAATAAGCAGCGAAATAAATTAAGTAAAAATCTAAAAGCAAACTAATACAGGAACATACAAATATTTTTTATAGTGGTTCGGATCAAAATCCTACATTCACTCTTCCTTCTTGCGAAGGGTCTTCTTTATTGTGACCGAAGTTCACCCAAATGACAATCTGATTTGGTACACTTTAAAGACCGTACCCTAGAATCTACCCACAATCAATCGTCTAACCTAACTATTCACAATGAGTAGAAGATACATAGCCCTATCTAGCCTGTTGGCCTCTTTGTTTTGATGATGTTTAACAAACAATTTATTACTAATGTTGTTTATCTAGTATTCATGTTTTCTTATTTATTGTAGACAAACAATATGTCGGAGAATGGATGGAATCGAGCATTCATGATCATATCCGATGGAGGTTGGCGAAATTATGGTATGAAGCTACGCAATTCAAGTTAAATATTCAAGTTCAAGCTTCATCCGCAAGTGTACCAAGATAGAGCTTCGTTGAAGATCACAAGCTTGGGTATATTTAGTTTTAGGTTTTATATTATGTGTGTTAGTACTTTAAGCTCAATCATACACACACATACACGTTTTGGTTTTTCTATGTATATATATAGTCGTATATATACATACATGTTTTGGTTTCCAAGTATATATAAATATGAAATTACATCCTTCATATTTATTGTTTTGGTTTTTCAAGTTTAAATATGAAATAATTA